GAAAAGTTGTGATCTTTATGATTATATAACTAAAGTTCATTAATGTCTTAGGATGTAACTTATGATGTTAGTAGTGTACTAGTTATTGTTTTGTTTTCATACTTTTTGTTGTAATATCAGTGTATCTAGTGTGAAGCAACAATATTTGTTCCTTTGCTTACTATTTAAGCAGTAAAGTCTATCAGTATGATCCTTCCCTATCTCCTTCCATATATGCTGAATGTTTTAGGTTCCAAGATCAACCATTCAAAATTTTATGCAGGTTGTACTGGTAGCGAACTCACTTCCTGCACTAAATGATGTTACTGCAATGGAGTTGCCTGATATTGTTGCTGAGGCTGCAAAGGTATGTTGATTTTCAATGCCTTCCTATTAGTTATAAATAATGAGATGCATACGGGGGCGAGTCCACAGCTTCAGTTACAGGCTCATGTGAACCCAGTAATTTTTGCTCAGACTCTGAATATATGTTTGGAAATTTCTGTAATATCTATAAATATTTGACTGCTAACCCATATATTGTATATATTAACTTGAAGTCGTTGTAGGAACCCATAAACTTAAATCTTGGATCCGCCTTTGGATGTATAACTCCTCTAAATAGAGGAATAATGCTTTTTACCTTGTTCTGTAAACAGAAATAAATCTATGCACGAATAAGGCCTATTTGTATAATATTTTAGAGCGCTCTCTCTCTCTCTCTCTCTCGTCCACTCGACATAATATCTCATTAGCTCGCTAATATTGCTTTGGCTTACAGCACTGTGATATTCTTCGAGGAGCAGCTGAAGCAGGAGGTTTGCTTGTTGACGCTATGAGTAATATCCAAGATGGTTACAAGGAAAATACACCTTCCGTTCCTCTAATGGTTGTGGAGAATGGATGTGGCAGTCCATGCATAGACTTGAGGCAAGTGAGCTCAGAGTTAGCAGCTGCAGCCAAAGATGCAGATCTGGTATGCTGCTCCTTTCTTTAATACACTAAAAGATGTGACTATCTCATTGAGAAAATAAGTGCAACTTACTGAGGATGTTTTTTCCCTGGGTGCAGGTAATTTTGGAAGGGATGGGTCGGTCTTTGCATACCAATTATAATGCAAAGTTCAAATGTGATGCTCTCAAGGTAAGGATTATAGCAGTCACATAAAACATGTTAAAGATTGTTTCTGCATATTATTCATATGGTTCTAGTGAATATCAAATGGAGCTCCATAAGTACCTTCCATGAAATTTTAAGTTAGACTAGCTTTTTCCATATTTTATTTAGTCATGATGTCCTATTAGCGGTTTATAGAACCAGCTTATTTGGTATTTCGTCGAGTATGCTGGATGTTGAATAGTGTAAAGTATAATGAGCTCTCTTTGTGCCAGAGTCTTCTTTGACATGGTTTATGTGATTTTGCAGCTTGCTATGGTGAAGAATCAGCGATTGGCAGCAAAATTGGTTAAAGGGAATATTTATGATTGTGTCTGTAGATATGAACCAGCTAGCTGAAAACTTCCCTTTTTCATGTAGTTTCGATTTATCTCGTCTCTCAGAACTGTCAACCATACTAGGTAAGCAGGTGTCCCGACAAATACAATTATAAGATGTAAACCTTCAGAAATTGTATTATTGAACTGCCTATGAGTCACTTCATACTCGAGGGTTGCTCTGAATAGGTTCTGTTACACATTAATCCTTCTACTGTAGATTGTTTTATTTTCTAGATTCAAGCAATGAAAGTTTTAAGATATTATTATTCTCTTGATTCCGCGCTCTGTTTTCTCTTTTGCCATTTCCTTGATGGGGATGCAGTGTACATTCAATTTTTGAAGTTCATGAGATTGATGTACTGTCTGTTATCAAGAAACGGATGTCTATCAGTAGAAGCAGAGGGATTGGTGGTTGTCTTTTCTGATAATTTCTTTACGAAGTACTTGTTTTCTGCATGCAAAAGACACTTGTTGGTCATAACAAGAGCTTAGTTCAGTGCATTGAAATGGCTTTTTTTTTTTAAATATATATATTTATTGATATGTGAGTTGTAATTGTCTACTATATATGTCATATTTAACCACTTTGTTGTTATCTCTTTTGTTGCGCTTCCCCCTTGCAATCCTACATAAATGGTTGAACTACTATGAGATTGAAGATCTACGTAAATGGGTCATATATGAAGCCATTAAATGCCTTCTATTATTCTTCTTTATTTTCAAGGGTTAATTCTCCTTTCACTTACCCAGGTAATTAGACATGATGTAACATTCTACACGTATAGTTACTAATGACAAGACTGACTATATAAAGGAGGAGGAAGATTAGGGTAGAAAATTATTATTGTTACTTTATAAACTATCTCATTCTTCCATTTTGGTATTGCGTGTTTTCTTTGCTTCAATTTTCATACTACTTTTTTGTTGCTATTGTTCTCTTATATGATCAATATTTTGATGTTGTATTTGCTTTACATATTTGAGTTTTATTGTGCTTTAATTGAGTTGAAGGTCTATCAGAAACAATCCTTTCTATCTTCACAATGTAAAAGTAAGACTGAGTCTGCACCACCTTCTTTCATATCCACTTGTGAAAATTACAATAAATATATTGTTATTTAAAAACTTAAAGTTGAAAGAAGTGGAGTAGATTTGAAGTAAAAGTATATCATACATATACTTCCTCTGTTTAAAAACAAATAGCCTACTTTCTTTTTTAGTTTAACTAAAAAAGAATGACCTGAATGACCTCTTTCCTTTTTACGTAACATTATAATTTCAACGTGGCATATTTAAGACCCCAAATATAAAGGACAATTTTATGCGTTTGATATAATCTTATTCAAAAGTCTTGTTCAGGCTTTGGCCAAAATGCATAAGCACGGTTGGGCATTTGGTCTAGTGGTATGATTCTCGCTTTGGGTGCGAGAGGTCCCGAGTTCGATTCTCGGAATGCCCCCATAAAATTATTTCTATATTTATTTTTGTTAGTATTTATTATTATTTTTAGAAGTATTCACATGTTGCACTATTTGAATCTTCGAAAAGTATTAGTAACAGCATATTTTGAGTTTTTTGTGATTTTACCCTGTGGAGTTTGTGTGAATAGGCAAGTTTTGATGTTATATATTTGTCTTGTGGTGTTATGTTATTTGACCAGTCAAGAAATAAATAAATGAGAAGAAGAGGGGGAGGCAGTCAATGTCAGAAATCATGGTATTCCAGGCTTTGAAAGGAAAAAGACAAATATAAGTTTGAACGAATGCAAATATATGAAGAGTAAAAAGCATCAATCACCAGAAAATGTTGTCTATAAATCTTGGCTTATCCAGAAAGCATCATTTGTAAAAGAAGAATCTCATGTCACTCATTCTTTTGCTAAACATAACCATCAAATTAAGGGACATCAAAAATATCTTAGAGTTGTACTTGGTGTTTAAACTAGATCATACTACTTTATTATGCTTAAATCAAAAAATAATTTTACTAGATTGTTTTTTAAACCTAAACCCTCCGTCAAGAGAAACAGAGTTGCTTGAGTTTGTGCACTCTGATTTATGCGGTCCAATGAACACAAGAACAACTTTGGATGGTGCACTTTATTTTGTTGCTTTTATTAATGACTACTCGATATAACTTTGAATCTGTATTATTATATATATGTATATATTCAAGTATCATATATTTATTAAATTGGTGTAAATATCGAATATATTTAGGTTAGCTCATGTCGTATTTGGAATATTAGATGACAAAGGGGTATTAAATTTAAGTCCTTTTAAATTGTACTGAAACGTAAATAATTGAAATGTTTATATATATATATAGCCAAATTATTTGTACGTAGTTAATAAAGTACTGATGAGTAAGCCAGTGTTATAATCATGAGCATTGATCTTAATTAAATAACATTTTTAAAAAAAAATAAAAAATTGAATGCTGAAAAGTGAAATAGGACCATATATTCATTCAATTTTATGATGATTTATGACACTCAGGCAAATCTCCTTATTAACACAAACTCCGATAGGGATTGCATCACTACCTATCATAATAACTAGATCTACAAAATATAAAATACTAATTAAAAAAATTGTACCTTCAAAAGTCAAATTACAATAACAATAATATATATAGAGAGAGAGAATATATTCGCAAATTAAATTTAAAAAATTTATATGGAGTGTAAAACTATCAAAGTATATAACATGAATCTAAAAACAAATAATCTTGGATCAAAGGATGGTGCTGATTAACACTAGCATATATATATAACTTACATTATTTACTAAAATATAATTCTTACTCTCTTCGTTCAGAATTATATGTCATTGTTTCTATTTTTAGAGTCAAATTATAAAATTTTGACTAACATTGTAAGATATATTTTTAAATCATATTAATATGCAAAAAATTGCAATTTATAATACTTTTCATATAGTTTTAAAATGTCTAATTTTTTGTCTAAAATATCGAATTAATGTAATATTTTAATTCCGAACAGAGGGAGTACCTTTTTATTAATGTTGTCAAAAATAAAAAATCAGATGTTCTGAATGTTATGTAAATATATCTTTTTAGTCTAGTCTTCCCCCCAATATTGCCAAAATCTGTATTAGAAAATCAGAAAAATTATTGTTTTCCTAAATGGCATTGTTTTTTGATTCATTTGAGTACAAAATTTACTTTCAAATTTTATCATACTCCAGCAATATGCTCGATACCAAGTTATGTGAAAAATTATTTTCTTTTTTTTTTTCGATTCTAAAATAACTTAAAATCTCATGTTTAATTTCAATATTATGAAGATTACGTTAATTAACTAAATAAAAGGAAGAATCATACATACATCAAATTCTGCTAGATTAACCAAAGATATCATATACGTTAGTTACTAAACAACTTAATAATATCAATCGGTCATCCTATGGAAAGAAGAGAAAACAAAAGAATTATAAATCATACATCAAATTATTTTAATAAGTTTTTTTCACATCAAAAAGAAAAGAATACATATAACATTAATTAATTAACATCTTATTTTTTATTTTCCCCCCTCAATAATAATAAAATTTTAATGAGGTCGAAATTTTTGACTGCAAGAGTGGCAAGTAACTTCCATGCACGTAGGATCAATCCTACGAGTTGCTCTTTCTTTCAACTTTTCTGCTCTTTCAACTTCCTCTTTTGCCCTTTCCCACATACTCCTCGCACGTGCGAATTCCGACTGAGCCAGCTCTATTTCTCTTCTTGTAAGCTCCCTCACACGTTCCGCGTACGCTTTTTCAATGGCTGCCAGCCGTATTTGCTCCGCGGCTTGCCATTTAAGGGCTTCAACGTACCCCGAGTCGAACCGGACATCGGTGCTGTACTGATTGTGATCGTGGTTGAGTGATGCAGGTCGAATTAATATACCTTGATTGTGAGTTGATGATGGTTTTATTGGTCGTCGTACGCTGATTGAGAGTTGTAGGTCTAACGAAGGAGGTTCGATCGATTCCGATGATCGGATTATGTTGCCGGAGGAATCGGATGGCCAGGAGGAAGAATTTGGTGCGTTTTGGTGAGTAGACAGAAAATGTAGCTCCTTTTGATGATCTTCCATTGGTGAGTGAGTAGACAGAAAATGATGATGCTCTGAAAAGAAAAAAATTAGGGCAACTCAAATAATTACATGTGCATCTTTCGTTTAGTTTAAGACAACACGTTTAGTTTAAGACAACACGATTCAAATGTTATTGTAATTTTATTAAAACTTTCTGTTTATTTTTTTCTTTTGGTTTCACATTTAGTGTCCAGAGCCTCACATTGAAGCTCCAACTAAATCTGGATCGCACACTTCAACACCCATTTAGGGGTGGGTTTTTTTGGTTTCACATTGTGCGTCCAGAGTCCATATTGAAGCTCCGACTAAATCTGAATCGCACACTGCAAGACCCATTTAGGAGTGGTGCTCCCAACAGAATTTTCTTTATACACGGGGCTTAAACTTTCTATCAAGTCAAACACCAGAGAAATAAATTTGAGACAAAAGGAGTATATATATCAACATTGGTATTGTATAATAATATATAGAAGATTAGGGCAACGAACAAGGAGTGTCTTGGAATGGATAATTCCTTCGTTCTTAGTTAGATGTTTTTAATTTCATTCGAATTTTGGGAATGACAAAAAAAACATCTGAAAAGAAATACATCATGTGAATTTGAATTAGTCAAGTTAGTTAGGTCAAAAATACCAGATTGTTATATAAAAAATGGGGAGAAGGTAAGTTCAACTTTTGAGGAATTTGAATTATATATATTGAACTAGTATACATATGTGTAACTTAAATCCAACATATAATTACTACATATGCAAAGATCATTGCTTTACTCTTTTGTATCTTACCAGAAAGAAGGTTAAAGAGGATACCCAAAAAAGAAAAATATAGCTAGTTACATTTCATTTTGGCCCTATCATCTACTCTAGCTAGGCTCTAGCTATATCTTCATCAGTACAAACTGATGATGAATGTAGAGTTTGGTAGGTCAAATGAAATGCAGCTACATATTCTTTTTTTCTCTCTTTTTTTGTCATGAAACAAAGAAAATGAACTCTACAAATTATGACATTCTTTTCATTTTAGATACTCAACTACCTAATTAATACTACTTGTAATAGTATTATATATGCATGTTTCTAGAATTCAAATCTATCTAATTAATCATATTCATGTTTTGGCATGATTACTTCAAATCTAATTCTTCCATTACTTAGAATTTACAGTACTAGTCAAACTATATTACCCTTGAAAAGTCGTTTAGTGTGAAGTACAAAGTATAATAATCTCAGGGACAATATGTAGAACTATTTTATTATGCATTTGGTTGAAGGTATTAGGTAGTCTATTGATTATTTTATCCCACCATTTATACTACAGTGATAGAATATACTATAAGTTATCTCATGTACTTGGTGGATGACTTGTTACCAGGAAAACATATTATCCAGGGATAACTAGTTCTCAACTAAACGATAATGTCAAATCAAATGGGATAGAGAAGCTATGATAGAACAGACAAATAATGTAATTTCAATTCTAGGCTCTGCTGGCATTAATCAACCAATTTTTTCTAAGAGCAAAGGAACTTACCATAAGCTTGTCAGTTCATGAAATTGGCCAAAGTATAAAATATTTGAAAAGAATACTAGTACTAAATTTTGGCTTTTAATTAACTCCATGGATTTAGTTTCTTTTGAAAATAATTTCAGTAATATCATTAGAAGCATCTATGTATGAGAATCATAATATATAGTTCTCTAAAATATCAAACAAGCAACACGGAGAACTAACATTCCTCAAGTTATATGTCTAATAAAAAAATCATCAAGGTCTAAAACAAACTTATTGATTTTGAAATATGATGAGTTTAATGCTAAAAATCTTAAAAATTGAAGACAGTATTTAAATATTGAATTCGTCTCTAATCTATAAAAGAACTTATATATGTGACACACATAATCCATTAATTATACAGTCATATGACTTTTAGAAAAGATATACTCCAGTAGTAGTAATGTTAGAATCATTACCTATAAAAATTATAGTATATGTTCCCTATAAATCTTTTATTTGACCTAACCAAAAGAATGTCAAAAGCATAGAGTAGCTAAGAAAATGCAATTTCTTTTTTTCTTCACTTTAAAAAAAAAATCCCTTTCTGGTAAGTAACTAAAAGCTTTATCAATTGGAAATTTCAAGAAAATACTTGTTTTGTACGTAGCTAGTAATCAATTCGATCAATATGATGCACAAAAATACAATCAAAAGAAGTGAGATGAAATCTTTTCAAGAAAATAAAGCACGAAAAAAAGGCAAGAATGAATGAATGAAAGAAATAGTACCTTTTGTGAGTTTCAGTATTCAATGAATTTTCGTATAAAGAGAGAGAAAAGAGAGATATATGTACTAATCGTTTTTTTCTGTTCGAAAGCTTGAAATGATCAGACTATGAAGGTAGGGGAATTAGGTATATGAACAAAATTGAAGACAATAATTGGGAAGCCCTAAAAAAGGAGTTAAAACTTTTTTACAAGACGTTATGGGGGAGAAAATGAATGAATGAGAAGCAACAAAGAGAAAACGACTTTTGAAACCGATAGATTTTGACAACAAATATTTGGGGGGTGGGGGGTACACATGTATATGTATGTATATATTATATGTGTGTGTGTGTGTGAGTGATATATAGTAGTAGAAGACTAGTAGTAATTGTATGACATATATATACACAAAACCACATGGATGGTTTGCTAGTGGGAGAGACAAAGGCATTACCTACTTGCATGGGTTAAAGTGGACGTACACAAAGCACCAAAAATGTAATTACAAATTTCAGGAAAAAAGTGAATGTACAATATCACAATTGTGGGTCACCTCATCCCACCCCGCACCCCCACACAATACATAGAGTGTATATATATATTCCCTTTTCTAATCCGAACGGAGTTAAGGTTTTGAATTTATGAGTTTTGATCATAGAAAAGAAAGTTATTATGTTCTTGATAAGTTTCGATACATATTAAGTGTACTTTTAATACAAATATAAAATTTATATTAGAGCTATTCGTACCGGCTCTATCTTATTATCAAGTTTGTTTTTCAATATATGATTTATTATTATTTTTCAACTAATGAAATTTGTATTATTAAAACTCTTCTAGATTTAATTAGATGTCTTAAGTTTGAATCAGAAAATTAAGGAGGAATTGAAATTAGGTCGGTCAATAATCAATCAACTTCAATATCAAATGAATAAACACAAAAAACATAGTTAATGAAAAGAGAAATTATTACTTCTTGGACTTTATTAGATGTATTATTGTCCATTTGTTGATAAGAGTCTTATGCTAAAATATGTTCTTTATTTACTCTTTGGAGAAAATGGAGAAATAGAAATTGGAGAGGAGTCGAATTTATATTTTTAACAGAAAAAGGTTTAAAATATTTTTAAAATATTGAAAATGGTACAAAATTATTCTTCATTCACCTATTGGCTTCAAAATGTCCTTCTTATTCACCTTTGGTTCAAGATTGACCACCTATTTAATTGTTTTAAAATTAAACTCTTTAAATATTTTTTAAAATACTCGACGTTCAACTATTGGTTATAATTTAATTTATTAATATAATATATAAATCAATCCACTAACCACTCATTACTAACTAAATCCCACCCAATTAATAATCCAATTATATTATCAAAATAGCCATAAACACTACTAAAACACGATAAAGTTATAGATTCCTGAAAATGACATCCAAAATTATTCGAGTCCGAATCGAAGGTCAATTAAATTTAGGTTGAGCCGCTTATTTAGGAAGAGACTTTCAATAGGATTCTTTTCAAGATTGAATTAGAAATTTATGATTAACGGTAAAGAAGTAATACATCTCGAATTAATTCATGCACTTTTTTTAAATATAATTTTATAAATACTTATGATTTGTTTTAAAACCCTTAATATATTATTTTGAAAAAAAAGTTACCTATGAAGTAACATCACATAATTGAGACGTAAGAATAATTAAGATGAACATAGTCAGACTTTTAAGTTTATCAGTAATTTGATTCTATAGGTATTTTCGCCTCAAATTTTAAAAAACACTCAATTGGCATTAGCTTTTGTTTGTTGCATTAATAATATGACGGAGTTATTAATTTGGAGGGGTTTAATTGATAATGGGTGGGTAGAGTATTGATTTATAAATTCTACTAATAAATTAAATTATAACAAATAGTTGAGCACCACGTATTTAAAAAAATATTTAAATAGTTTAAAATATAAAACCGTTAAATAAGTGGTCAATTTTGAATCAAAAGATGGATGACAAGGGTATTTTGGAGCGGTGGGAAGGATATTTTGAAGGATAATTTTATACCATTTACAATTTTTGAGAATATTTTAGGCCCTTTTTCATATTTTTAAATATTGAGCCAAGTCATCTCAAATATACTTATAACTAGTGTGATATTAGTAATTTTGTTTTAAGGATGTAAAAATAATGATTTTAAGGCCTTACCTATCTCTAAACCTTATGTATATAATTTTCCAATCTTTTAATATCTCCTATGTTTGAATCTTATTTCATTTATATACACTTTTTGTTTTATATCAGTTGTCATATTAATTTTTCCAAACAATTTTAAAAAGTAAAGAACCTTTTTTGTGTGACATTTTTTATCCTTTTTCCACCTATTACACAACAAGTAATCCCAAAAATCCAAAAGTAAGTTATTCATGTCCCTTAAATAAACTCGTAATGGATAAGTTAAAAGTTATTAAACCCATTAAAAAGTAACCATTTTGAGAAACGTAACAATGTTTTCAGATACTTATAAACGGAAAGTGACAAAAGATACGGAATTAATGAAGTAAATAAAACCTAAATAGTGATTGATTCTAATTTTTGCTCAGGCATATAAATAGGGATTGGTGGAGTACATTTGATTATTATTATTATTATTATTATTATTATTATTATTATTATTGCTAGAGAATAAATATTTTTATTTAAATTAGTCTAGAAGAATGACTAAAGTAATATTAAATTAATTAATTCATAAGTATTTATCTTCCACATTATCCAAAAACATAAACGTGGAATGTTGACTTTCCTTCTTAAGCAACGTAACCATCAGAACAACTAGCAAGATTTAGTTATGACAACAAAATCTTCATGATTATACTCTTACCACTGTTAAAAATATTTACCATTATACTAATTAATTTTGTTACATTGCAAATATATATACTAATTAATTACTTACTTTATAAGAGAAATAACAGGACTCAAAGTCAACCTCGATTCAAAGTGAATTTTGAATCCTCTAATATAAATGACGAAGTTAACCCTCTAATTTAGTATTTTAGAAAATTCTCTAAAATTTATGTAGGTAGATAAGAAAAGTTAAAAAGAAAGAGTTATATGTATCATTTAATTTTTGAGTTCGGAGTCCACAGAAAAAAAAAATATCAAAAATTTCAAATAGGCACATCAATTTTTTTTTTTAACCAAAAAGGTAAAGTTACGCTGTTACTTTACAATATTAACGATGTTACTAAGAGGGTTAATCGCAACACCTTTCCGCCCCGGAATGGTTAAGTTTCTTCATCCATTTTGTTTTAATTTATGTATCGTCATTTGTGTATGAAATTTGTTGTAATCTTAAATATGCATGAAAAAATTTCATTTTAGAACAGACTAATAAGAAAATGAAATTTATCTAAAATGAAATTTTTCATTAATTATATCTTATCTCTATTTTTTTTTTCAAATTATAAAAAAAAAATTAAATTTTGTAGAATTCGGATATATCCCAAAAATATTGCGATATATTGTGTCCCAGATATATCGCTCACCGCTATCATATCTCAACTTCATATTTGAGAATAGAGTATGAATTTTTGTTATTTTTTGAAATGATTGAAAATTTTAGAGAATATGATAAAATTTATGGAGCGTAAAACGTTTGTTCATGTCAGCTGAGGAAACAGTGATGTCATGTGTCACCTCGTCGATGAATCACATTCATCGTATTAAGTTGAATAGTCTTCTCTTTCTGGTTTCTGTCTCTTTTATATGTGTGGCCTGCACAACTCCTCAATAATATTCTCATACTTCAAATACCAGAATTTTTAAACATTTATAGTAAAACATAACTATTTCGTAACAATGAACACATACACTCCTCAACAATTAACATTGTTTGCGCGCATTATTAGAATAGATTGTTTACGTCATATACAATCCTTCCACAAATCTTGTTGTATGTTGAATATTTTATGCACCGTACCAAACTGTCTTTTTACTCACAAAAAAAAATCTCAAACACCTAATTAAATCATTCATCTTGTTAAAGAATGACAAAAGTCTCACAAATGTGATTAATGAGATGGGTGGACTCCTTATAAGGAGTTGGAAAATCTTCCTCGCTTTGAGCTAGCTTTTGGTGTATGAGTCAGGCCTAAGACCTAATTTCATATGGTATCAGAACAGGGTCCGTCTCACCCGATATTGGGACCCCCATAATTAAAATTGCATACACACCAGATGTTAAGCACTGGACATGAGATGGGGTGTTAAAGAACGACATATCCTCCTCCCTTTGAGCTACCTTTTAGGATCGTAAGACCTAATCCAACATCAAACTAACTCAAACAACATGTATACATAAACTTAAAGCTCTTAAATTAATACTGAAACGTTTGGTGAGAGCGTAATTATGCGATCCACACGTGCATGAAGTGTTGTATGTTTACTAGTGATTACTCTTATTTTTAAAATAAAGCTGATCGGTGTCGAAATTAGAAATTTTATCATATGTATATTTAAAATTCATAATAATTTTTTCACGAAAAATGTTCGAGATTGGGTGGGAGGAGGAGGGGTTATTAGTAGTAGTAGTAGTAACTTTATAGAAGATAGAGAGGGGGGGGGGGGGTTAGCTTTATTGGTAGGGTTAAGTTGTCGGGGCTCTACATATATACCAAATGAATAAAGATAGCTACTGATGGATCTCTAATAACTTTATTTGATCCATCGATCGATGGCACGTGGGAGGGTGGCACATGTTTACAAGAAAAATGAAATGATGAAGATGATGAATTTCATGATCATAAATTAGTATTATTTTTGCTTCTGCAGAATCTACTGCTTGGAACCTTTATATTTGTGGGTCCATTCTCCATGTGGCTTTCCACCATTTTGTTTCATCATGTGCCTTACCCCGGCCAGACTTGGTTTCAACTTTAACATCAAATTAACAAAAACAATATTTACTTAGTACCCAATCAATTAAATTACTAAGATTATATAGATAGATTTAAGTTTACTAAGAGAAAAAAGAAATTGCATTACCCCAATCAATTGAAGTATTAAGATTATATAAACGATTTAAATTTGCTAAGAGAAAAAAAAATATATGTTACTCCAATCAATTAAATTACTAAGATTATAGACGACTTAAGTTTGCTAAGAGAAAAAAAAATTGTGTTATTAAGTGCATCACTCTAGAGTATCAAATTTTTTATGACTATGTTCTTCATTTGCTAGAAAATTAACACATCACTTTGTGTCTATCTGAATATGTTTAAGTGTGGCCTTGGTGACAACTATAACTAATGTGTGTATCATTTGGTAATCACTATCTAACAAAGATAGAGAGAACGTTTATCGAAAAATAG